ATGTAGACCAAAGTGGAAGGATTATGAAGGATTTGGATGAAATTTGGAAAGGGACCCAAATTCTACATGAGGTGGCCTCTGCAAATAATATCTTACAGTTTGGTCATATTTTTTGTAACATGACTTCATGGTTACCAAACTGGGCCTGGATAAGGGAGGTGTTTGTAATGATTGTAATGATAATTGTCATGTGTATAATATCTGGTGCTGTAAGCAGCTGTGTAAACTGGTGCTGTGGTTAGTGTAGCGTAGAGACTAGACAAGTGAAGTCTTGTTAGTCTCTAAAAAGGGGGGGGATGATGCCTGATGATTTTTGCTTTTCCCTTTACGCTTCTGTACTCCCCCATGCATCCACCTGTACCCCTTAGCCCACATGTTTGTAATTCCTGAAGCTTGATATTCCAGCTTAGTTTAGGCGTTTTGCTGGGCAGAGAGACCAAACATCCTGAGGAAGGAGTCAGTGTGCTCTGTGCTATCTTAAACCCAAGACTCCAGCCTTGGGTGAAGCCTTCCGTCCAGAACATCTTGTGTAAACAGGGCTCTGGCCTCATCTGGGGGGGGATTCATTAGAATAGGGGGACATTACTGCATTTTTTAAGTTTCTTATTGAAAAATCCTAGATAAGTATGCTAATTCCTGAAACCTATAAAACTTGTATCCGTGCTGTACACGGGTGTGCATTCTGCCATCAAGTTTTGCACCTGGGATCCCAAATACCAAGGTAAAACCCTTTTTATCCCCTTAACCGTGTCTGTGTCATTATTAAAAACTGGCCTTTCAAGGCAACAGTTTCCTCACTCTGCACATGGGAGGACAGCCCCATGTCCCTGTCCCTGCTCCCAGCAGAGCTGTCCTGGGAGTGCAGCATGGCCCTGGGGAGGAGAGAAACATTCTGGGTCACTGGTTCTGGGGTGTTCCTCACTGACCCACCTGGGAGGAAGCCCATTTAACTAAGAGCCTCAACTCTTCAAATTTAGAGGGAAAATATGGATAAAAGAAAGGAAATCAGTCCATAAAGTCCTTCCATGGGGACATCCAACTGCGTGGGAAAGCTCCAAATCAGACCCAATGTGACCACAGAGCCAAATGCCAAATTTTATCATTTATTGGCTCTCCCCAGGGAGCCTCTGCTCCCATATTTAAGGTCCAGGAAGCAACTCCTGCCAGTGCAGCTGTCAGGATTTGATGGCTCCAGCTAAGGAGGATCTTTTCTCCCAGATTTTCCTATAAAACCGTGGTAAAAGGTTCATCCAGTAGAAGCAGCAGTAACAGSCCTCAAGTTTAGGTTGAGGATGTTTAGGTTGGATATTAKGAAAACTTYCTTCATGGGACGGGTTGTCAAGCCCTGGAAATGTTCAGGAAATGTGTGGATATGGCACTTGAGGACATGAATTAGTGCTGAACATGGTGRTGCTGCTGGCTGGTGTTTGGACTGGATGATCTCAGAGGTCTTTTCCAACCTTAACAATTCCAYAATTTTTTGAAAAGGGGAACCTGRGAGAATGTTTATCAGCAGGGGGGAAGATGCCCAAGGAATGACCTCTCACTCCACAGGAGAAGGTGGGCAGAATTGTCCCATTCCTTACCCGGCCCTGCTGGGTTCAGTGGGATCCTTCAGCCTGGGGGGCTCGGGGTGGGTGTCATGGCCAGGAGCTCCTTGGCCCCTCTCACTGAGGCTGCTTGAGTCCAAAAACCTAAATCAGAGACCCTTGATTGGGAAAATCCACGCTGGGATGGGCAGACACCCATTCCCTGCAGAGCAGCAGGAGCCATTCCAAAGATCCCAGACCACCAAACCCAGCAGCCCAATGCCCCCAGGCCTCACCTGCTGTCATCCCAGTAGGGCTGGCGGTGGGCTGGGCCCTTGGGGTTCGTGGAGCTGCTCCTGTCCTCATAGCCCAGGACAGACCTGGAAATCAGGGAAAGGCCCATCACATCCCTGAAAAGTGGCACGGGATCCTGGCACTGGGCTCACCAGGACAGGCTCATGCCAACCTGCACCGGGGCTCTTCTCCAGGACATCACACAGTCCATGTCCCTGTGGGGGAACGGGGCCCCACAGACCCTGATTCTGAAACTCAAGCAATTATTGTGTACGACTGAGGCCTGGGAAAAGAAAAGGAGTGTTGACAGCCTACATGGAGGAGGAATGCCGCATCCTTGAGAAAAGCAGATTRGAATGYAGAAKTGATAATGCAGGTGGCTGAAAATTATAAGCATTACTAATACTGTAGCTTTTGCAAACTCACCAATTATGTTCTAATTACTAATTAAACAACTGTCTCTTGACCAATATATGTTTGACACAAATGTGTACTTTAATTGCTAAAGTAGATAAAAAAAGCTTGTCCCACAATAAAGTTCTTCTTTCTTTCTGTTTTTTTACCCACTTTTGTGTGTTTTATATCTATTCTTTTCTGTTGCTGTTTGGCCAGCAGTGACATGTCCCTGAATTCCACCTCCCTGCTGCCACTCCAGCATCCCAGGATCATCAGGGAAGCAAAAGGGAGTGACTGAACCCCACTGGRAACACCAGAGGAGGAAAAATCAGGAGTGCTTGGCTGATCCCAGACCAGAGGGAGAGGGATATAACACAGAGCTCTTGGATTGCTTAAACTTCAGTTGTTTCCATCCTTGGGAAAAAAAGCTGGAGAAAGAGCCTCTTTTTGGGCTTGCCCACTCAGAATTTCTTCAATCCTCAGAATTATTCCTACACCTACTAAATCACCCCACTCTTACCTTTTGAAGGAGTAKTCTCTGTCCTCGATGTGCACAGGGGCTCCCTCAGTGGGAGGAAAGGGGACATCAGGCTGTGAATGAGACCTGGCAGAAAAGTGGGAATTTARAGCTTCCAGAGGCTTCCAGGGAATCTGTATGGAACAACACTGCACTTTGTATCAGCCCAGGAAACTGGGAAGAATTGTCTCAGAGAACTGATTTTCCGTCAGAAAAACCCATTTTTCATCTTTAACCGAGAGGAGGAGAGGCTGATGGGGGTTACTGGGAATCCATTCCCACACAGGAATTTCCTGTCCTGTACCAGGATCTTGCTCCTGGATAAGGCACAATAAGAGTGACTTTGGGGAAGAAATTCCCACACCCCCAGGAGCAGTTCCAGACTTTGGGATTTACATCATCCTCCTGGGAGCCTTGGGATCCTCCTCAGCTCAGCTCAGAGGGCTGAATTCATTTCATAGAATCCAGGAATCAGGGAATGGTTTGGGTTGGAAAGACCTTAAAGCCCATCTAGGGCCACCCCTGGCATGGCAGGGACACCTCCCACTGTACCTTCTCCAAGCCCTGTCCAACCTGGCCTTGAAATCTGCTCGCCTCAAGGCCTCTGATGGGGCAAACGTTGGAAATGGATCCCAAAATAACAGACAAGGGAGGGAAGCAGCTCCAGGTAGATCCATGTGTTTGCTGCCAGCAGCAGCAATTGCTTGCTGACCCTGCACCTCTGGCAATGCCAGGGGCGCAAACGCTCTGGAATCACGTGGGATGGAGGCACTAAAGGCAGTGCTGAACCTGCTGGATCTGCTCCCAGAATCCCAGCATCAGTGAAGATGGAAAAGCCCTCCCAGACCATGGAGCCCACCCTGTGACCCATCCCCACCTTGTCCCCTGCCCAAAGCACTCAGTGCCACCTCCAGCCCTTCCTGGGACACCTCCASGGATGGGGACTCCAAACCTCCCTGGGCAGACCCTGCCAGTGCCTGACCACCCTTTCCATGGAGAAATTCCTCCTGAATTCCCAGCTGCTTCTCTGGGAAGAAGCTGTGTAACAGTGAACAGCAAGATGCTGTTCCCGCTGTTTATCCACGCAGGATTTTCCATTTCCAGTTCCTCTGTTGGATTCTAATCCCAGCTCTACTCTGGACAAGTCACTCACTGCCACCCCAGCTGCCCTCTGGGCAGGGTCCCACCTGGTGTCACCCCAGGAGGGCTCRGGCTGGCGGGGCAGCTTTTCGGGAGCATCCACGGGTCTGTCCTGGGAGTCAGAGCTGGACCTGCCAAGAGAAGGAGCTTGGTTGGTCCYAGCAGGAAGCTCAGGAAGTTGGAGAACACCAAGAGGCAAATATGTCAACCAGGAGTTTTGCCTGGCTCTAATGGAACATGTTTTCTTCCTTCCTAGCTCTGGAAATTTCCTGAAGGGCCAAGCCACAGATCCAACTGAYTCATCCTCGTGTGAGGAAAGCAGCTGGAAGGTCCCAGGCTTTTTGAGCTGCTGGGTCAGGCCCACCCCCTGCAAGGGCTGCTCTCAGAGCTCATCTGCCAGGGCAGTCCCAGGGCAGGAGGAGACMCCCCTCCCTCCAAAATCAAGGAGAAAAAGGGAATTTTTCACTTACTCTGATGGGTAAAACCCATTGTTGGCTTCTGTGTGCTCAGGAAACCTGGAAAAGAGAGACACAGATTGAGGAATGTCTTGCAGTGACTTTCCTGTGCATTCCATAAAAGAGAGAGCAGGGAATCCCTAAACTTCCTGGAGAGGGACCTGTCCCAGGGGACACAGCAGAAAACTCTGGGGAATTCAGGGTCAGGACATGAATACTCCTYGGCACTGAACCTTTTGCTTTGCCATCTCACAGGATCTGCAGTTTCCTTTTTTGTTCGGGGCTTGGTTTTGGGAATTTTCTGAGGGTTTCTTATTGCAAAAGTCAATAAATAGGTGGAGGCTGAAGGCCTAGAGAGAAGTTCACAGAGTGTGAACCCCCCTGTACTGTTAAAACCATGAATAAATGACATTCCRGAACTGATTTTCATTGGGGAATAAAACTGGAAAATGAAGGAAGGATCCACAAAAATGACCGGACCTTTTTTGTATCATAGAAACTAAAAAAAAAAATCTGGTAGAAAATATCATACAATTTGATTTTTCCCCTTTTTCTTAAATGAAATTTAAAGAAACTGGTGCAGTTCTACAAAGCCCAGATGGAAAGTGGTTTTCCATCAGTAAATATCCATTCCAAGGTTGCAGGCAGCTCCGGAGCAGCAGTTCCTGGGCTATGCAGTGCCCAGGTCAGGAATCMGACAGTGACTGTACCTTCCATTTGTGGAAGCCCTGCTGGCTCTGGATCCCTGTTCATCCCATGAGAGCAGCTCAGGCTTTTCCTTCAGAGCTTTGGCACTAAAAAGAGGAATATTCCAGTGAAAATGGGACTTGTGGTGCATCATCCTAGAGAAACCTGCTGATATTGAGTGGGGTGGGGAAGGAAATGGGGCTGAACCTCTCTCTGTCAGGACAGACAGGGCAACATTCCTTAGCCCAGTGGGTCTGACTGCAGATTATATGGAACATGGAATTATGGAATTATGGAATTATGGAATCCCAGAGTGGGTTGGATCGGAAGGGAACTTAAATATCACCCATGTCAGGGACACCTCCCACTGTCCCAGGCTGCTCCCAGCCCCAATGTCCAGCCTGGCCTTGGACACTGCCAGGGATCCAGGGGCAGCCACAGCTTCTCTGGGCACCCTGTGCCAGGGCCTGCCCACCCTCCCAGGGAACAATTCCTTCCCAATATCCCATCCATCCCTGCCCTCTGGCACTGGGAAGCCATTCCCTGTGTCCTGTCCCTCCATCCCTTGTCCCCAGTCCCTCTCCAGCTCTCCTGGAGCCCCTTTAGGCCCTGGCAGGGGCTCTGAGCTCTCCCTGGAGCCTTTTCTTCTCCAGGTGAGCATCCCCAGCTCTCCCAGCCTGGCTTCAGTTTTCCATCCCCATCCATGGGTGCTGCTCCCTGCAGTCAGGTTCCACCTGTGCCCTGTGTCCAGTGGACCATGACAACAGCCCAGCCTCGCCCTTTCCAGGGGAGGGGAGGGGAGGGGAGGGGAGTTGCTGTGGCTTTGCTGGCAGGTGATGTCCCTGAAGCGCAGCTAGCCCAGCCTGGGGGCACCAGGAGCAGGGAAAGGCAATTCCTGAGCAAATCCAGGCCCAGCCCTTGGTCCAGCAGCACAGAGCAGCCCCTGCCCACTCCTTACCTGTCCCCATGCTGGGACACTGTTTCCATGGAGAATTTCCCATTCAGGGCCTGCCTGTCCTCACCATTCCTGCAGGGAAAACAGCATGAGCATGAGGGAGGGGGATGAAGAGCCACAGGGGCTGTACAGAGCGGGGTTTGTTGGAAGTGAGCTGCAAACAAGGCAGGAATTGGGGTAAAACTCCAAGGGAAAAGGATCGGCTGAGCTGATGGAAAGGGCTGCAGGTTCAGGTTGGGATTCCTAGCAAGGAGCTGGGAATGTTCAAACTAAAGGTGGGGCTGGTCTAAAACTGGTGCCAAGCTCCAAAATATTCCTGGCTTTTAGAGCTTTCATAGATGTCTGATATTATCACGTGTGATACTAATTTCCACCTAATTTCTGAGGGTTTTACGTTTTGTGTCTTCATGGCAGCTTTAAACTAGAGGTGGTGCAAATCTTCCACCTCTAACTCCTCAAAACCCAGAAATTCATGCATATTTTTTGTGGGTGGGGCTTCTCCAAACTGTGGGAGGCTTCCAACTCAGGATGTTTCCTCCCAGATGCTTTTTCCCTTCCCTGGATTCCCTGTGGGGTGTTTGCTGTTCCGTGCTCCTCCTGCCCCATGTCCTGTAGGATTTTGTGTCTCCTGGGGATCCYCCAAGCAGAGCCAGATTCCCCTCCCACCCTGGGGGGATCCCGAAGCTGCTGCGGGGCCCCAGACCCACCTGAGCTCAGCAGGAGGGGAGGATTTCCCTGCAGGATTGCTCAGGATTGGGGATGTTTGGCTCCTGCTGCCTCCTTTGGGGCTGCAAGAGAGAACAGAGCACAAACTCATCCCTGCTTAAAGCAGCTCCAAATCTGCCCTGCATGGAACAGGATTGGAGAATGTGGGAATGCATCAGCGCTCTTCTCAGTCCACTCATTGACAAAGTCATCAGAAACAATTTTTAGATTAAAGGCAGTGATTTTGCCAGGAATTTCTACTTTCTGCAGTGACACACCAATAAAAGCAGCAGGTGAGCAAAGTGCTGTTTGCAATGAGAACTATCCCACCTTTGGATACTCSAGGCACGGATTCTATCAAAACATTGGAAAATACCTGAAAATTATTCCCCYACACCTGCTTGGCCAGAAAGAGTTCAGCTGGATGGGGCTTGGAGCACCAAGTGGGAGGTGTCCCTGCCCAAAGGGGGTGGCACTGGATGGGCTTTAAGGTCCTTCCAACCCAAACCATTCCAGGATTCTACATTTGGGTTTTTTCCTTTTGGGTTTGGAGCCCTTCTGTTGGGATGCAGTCAGATGCTGGCAGGACATGAATTTCAGCCACAAAACCTTTATTCAGAGCTGCACCCAGGAAAGGTTTCCCGTGCAAAGCTGGGTTTGGTTGCTCCCCTTTCCTGGAGCAGTGCCTGCTCTGACAGCCCCACCCAGCCCATCCCGGAGCTCTCACCTGCAGGGAGAGGCTGCTGCTGCTGCCTTTGGCTCATCCCACCAAGTCCCGGGGCTGGTTTTCCTCAGCCCATTAGCACTGACCAAAAAAAAACCCCAACAAACAAAACAAGGAATTAACAAAGCATTAAAGATGGGTGATTTTGAGAAGCTTCTCCCTTGGGAGCACAAATCCTGCTCTGTGCCCTGCTGTGCCTCCTGTCTGCCTTTCTGCCGGAGTACTCGGGGTTAGGAGCTGATTTTTCCCATTTTTCCCGGCTGGAGCTCTTTCTATACCCGGTGTTTGTCACAAAGCCCTGACTCCCCCAAATGTGGAGATCAGAACTCGCTGCATTCCCAGCCCCAGCTGCAGTGTGGGATGGGGGGAAACTTCCCAGCCCTGCCTCAAACCTGCCCACAACGGCCCCAAACCTGCCCATGATGGCCCCAAACCTGCCCACAACGCCCCAAACCTGCTCACAACAGTCCCAAACCTGCACACAATGGCCCCAAACCTGCACACAATGGCCCCAAACCTGCTCACAACGGCCCCAAACCTGCCCACAACGGCCCCAAACCTGCTCACAATGGCCCCAAACCTGCCCACAATGGCCCCAAACCTGCCCATGATGGCCCCAAACCTGCCCACAACGGCCCCAAACCTGCCCACAACGGCCCCAAACCTGC